CTACCAACATGTTAGAATGAACAGCTTTCAATCACTCATCATTCCTCTCCATTCTACTCACTCACTCACTTCACAAATGAAATCATATTAGCATCAACTGCGAATGACATTGATGAAATCGGTATTCCAGGACAATATCAAATAGACCATATCCGCGTGCCATCGGTGTTAATACGTTTTACTGACAGAGGTCTGTGCCCTGTGACAATATACACAACACGGGATAGCTATGGAGGAAACCATCTTCCACCAGACAAAAGCCAATACTCTTAATCTGACACTACCATCTATCATCCACGATGACATCTGAAAACAAGAATATGGAAGGCGGGCAGGGATTTTTTCCGAAGCTAAATATAGACATTTTTCGGTCAAACATCCATTCATCATCCTGCTCAGCTCAGAATTGAGAGCCACACTCATCTTCGCCAAAACTGATGTGGGCATGAGAAATCCAATATCAAGGTAAAAGGGTACATTGAGTGTAGTGCTTTTGGGATTCTGAAGCAATGCCGTTGAGTGTCTGGGAGACCGAAATGACATCTTATTGCTCTTATAATTTACGGAAAAACGCCCCTTTGGGATTATTCGTCACAAAACCCATAATGGTTTTTTAAAGTAGATTGATTGTCAAGTGCAGAGTCATTACATCGTAATGAAAACATATCCAAGAAACCGTTTGGAGTTTATGAGTGAATATGGTGTAACGCAAAATTGGAATAGGTTTTTAGTTATAGCTTTGCGTGTCAAATTGATGTGGAGGAAAGGTCGAACAAAAACCGAGAAATATGATCAGGAAGATTATGGGATTCGAGCCCAGGGTCATAGTTCATCTGAGGGATGCCTAGAGGACGTAATTCTGCACAGCCAATTGCAGCTCCCGAAAGACACGACTAGGCATGACATCCGCATGAACATGCAGCAAATTTTATTGTTTATCCACCGCTGATTTCATGCTGGTTTTTCCAGCAACGTCACAGCAACCTGAAGTTAGCAGCGGGGACGTTTTGAGCTATTCGTTTTTAGAATAACTAAATACAAGCCAGCCTGATTTAAAGGCTGCATGTTGATTAGCTACAGTAATGGGATCAAATACACTGCATCTCCTTTAAGAAAATGACAGCAGGTTTGTCTGACAAGTGCACCATCTTCCAAAATCAGTTTTGGTATTCAAACCGCTGTTTCCTAATTGAGTGTATGTCTATCAAACTGACAAATATAAGGTAGTCTAACCTATGTTAAAGCAGTTGTTTAGGTGCTAAGTTCTGTCCAGTATCTGGAATCTAAACAGCACCGACAGATATTGTCTTCTCGTCTTTCTGTCAATCTTTTATCAGCAACAATATCAATACAAAGTTTGTGTTTAGTTATTGGAAAAAACAAAAGCTAAAGACGAACCCGCAGCTAGCTTCAAGCTGCTCAATATCATAGCTAAGATCACTGTGAATCTGAAGCATCGAACTCTGGTCTTTTGGGAGACCTGGGAACGCTGCTTTAAACACCATTCTTATTGTCCCTTTGTAGTTCTGAAACCAATATCATTGTGCTAACATTGTTGGGATATTTTGTTGGTGTGATCACGGTGTTATACAGGTGTGACAACGTTGCATGTGCGACGTGGTTGTTTCTTTCTTATAACAAAGTTGAATTGTTCCTACTGATCATGTGACCATCAAATAACGACAACCACACACAGAGACCCAAAGAGCGATAACTACTGACATGAATTTTTAGAAGTTCCCTGACACAATTCCGTGTACGAATTAATAAGCCAAAAATATAATTATAACACTAAGATGTTTTTGAAACAAATAATTTGTCCTTGGGTTGAATAGATCGTCCGCTAGACATGCTCCCAACACGACTCCCGCTCCCAAACTCGTGGGATATTAAATGGCCGGCCCGTATTATAATTATAAAACTTGCGCCAGATCGGAAACTACAGCTTGTATATAAACTGACTGGGAAGAGAAAGCATACACCAAACATGTATGATGATGACTAAAAGTGAAACAAACAAGAAACGGTTGTTCGATGGTGATGTATTTAATACGGGTATGTATACACATGCACAAACGTTAAGCGCCAACATATTCATAGTCTCTTGATTTCACGTGTGGGAATCAGAAATACGAAATATATGATGATGTATAAGGCTTCCTTAGTACCTTAGTACCTTCCTATGAACCCAAATTTGTCCAGATACCACAAGGAAAGCGTGCTTTACGTGTTGCTGCAGTTCCCCTACCCTATAAATAGTGAAATTCAAGTTTCAGATTCGTGGTTGCATGTTGCTCCTGTGTAAGATTCCCCTTCCAATAGAGGTTAAAAATCAGCTATGGTGAGGAGAAAGTTAACGAACGCTGAAAGATGGCAAGTGATAGGCATGAAAAATGCTGGCATGTCATGCAGGGCCATTGCAAGACAAATGGGTCGTCATCACAGTGTTATCACTCGTTTGATTGTCAAACATGGTCAAACCAATGATGTCAATGACAGGCATAGGTCTGGTAGGCCAAGAAATACCTCTAACAGAGAGGATAGACGTCTTTTCAGGATAGTCAGACGAAATCCATTTGCCACTTCAACAGATTTAAGACTGCAGTGGATTACCAATAAGAGACTCGACGATGACCGTAAGGCGTCGCCTCAGAGCGGCTGGTTATAACGCCAGAAGACCAGTAAAACGTCCTCAACTGACTGAGAGACACATGCGGAATCACCTGATATGGTGTCGTGCCCGTAGTCGATGGAACTTGGCCAACTGGAGAAGGATCCATTGGTCTGACGAGTGTCGAATGCTGCTACGAACTGTTGATGGTCGAATACGTGTTTGGAGGCAACACTCGTTTTGCACCAAGGAACATCCAGAAAACTTTAGCATGTGGCGGGGAGGGAGGGGGGGGGGGGGGGGGGGGGGGGTCTGTCATGAAATGGGGATGAGTTTCCTTCGGCTGCAAACTTCCGCTGGTGACAATTCGTGGATGGCCAACAATACCAAAATGCCGTTCTTCGTCCAGTGGTAGTCCCTCATTTTGACAACCATCCTCTTCAGACAAGACCTGTTTAAGTGGGCGACAATGCTAGACCACACAGATCTCGGGCAGTTTTGGCTTATTTGCGTCAAGTAGCTATTGCCACTCTTCCTTGGCCGGCCTGTAGTCCGGATCTTAATCCGATTGAGCATCTCTGGGACATTCTTGGCCGGAAAATCAGACATCGTGATGCCCCAGTTCAAAATCTCGCTGGACTTGAAGCCGCACTTCATGAAGAATGGATCCGTTTGCCTCAGAGAAGCATTCAACGACTTGTAATGAGTATGAGGCGTAGGGTTGAAGCTGTGGTCAATGTCCGTGGATCATACACACCTTAATGACGTTTCTGTCTTGCAATAGACTCTGCACTCCTTAGGGTGTCTATGTGACACATGATATGGTCTGCTGATATCATGACAGTTACATGACAAAAAAGGTTTTTCAATGTTTTCTAATCCTTCAATTTCTGGTCTTCGGTAAAATTCCTTTCTGCTCATATTCTTTTGGAACACAAGATAAACTTGCTTTGGGACAACTTTTGCATCACATGAGGTTTACATATACGACTTATAACAATCGTTCATCTCGTTATAATAGTCATCATTAAGTGCCAAAAGTAACAGCTCACAAATATGGTGGGTGGCGCTTAACTTTTGTGCATGTGCATTATTTTGGACCTTAGGTTTGCAGTCTTTCGGTGACTGTTTTCAGCCTTGTATAACGTTTGCAATTTTTGTTCTAATCCAGTTTTTTTTAAGTATAACATTATACATAACTTTGAAGTCTTGGTCGAATTTTCGGAGAGTCGTTGGAGGAATTGTACAGGACACTGAGCAGCGTTTCGTTCCTAAGAAGTTCCAGAATCCTTGACTGGTTTGAATCCCAAATTCGCCTTGATTAAGTTTCGCTGTTACCACTCACTCACTCACTCACTCACTCACACTATTGACTTGCCTTTGCATGTGTGTGTAACTTTGGTATCGTCACTATTTGACAGTGAGTCATAAACACATGGTCATGATATAGTCGGAATCGTACAATCGACTGTTTTGGGCAGAGATTTCTCATGATTATGGAAAGTGTTTTGCCGCTTATAAAGCAACCTTCAATGCAGGGCATGTCAACTTGTTACCAGTTTATTTACATTAAAAAGGTATATCATAGCATTGCGCAGGAATGAACATACATGTGCAGTGAAAAAACGTAAGATATATAGGTGTATATATATATATAAGTAACCATATAGGTTCATGTGTGACAAAAACATATATTTGTTACACTGTAAATAATTTAATGAAATATTATCATGATGTCAATCACACGATTGTCTAGTCCTCGATTATTTACATATGGCGGGAATAGCGCTGGAATATTCACTCACTCACTCACAAATTCAATCATTTCCGACAAATCAAGTCATATTAGCGTCAAGGGCCTGCATAACAGTAGTCCTGATAATATGGAAGGTGAGCGGTGAGCAATAAATAGCAGTAATTAGACACTCTTCAGACAAATAACCATTCATCATCCTGTTTAGCTCAGAATTGAGCGCCATACTTACATGTATATTTCCCAAGTTTGAAAACTTCCCTCGGTAAAGAAGGGGGCGATCAGGTTTATTTTCTGAATACTAATTGTATTACTATCTATATATACATATGGCCATGCATGTAGACCAGCGTTGAGACGTGTTGAGTGTTCAATGCACACAGAAAGGTGACAGGAATGTGCCTGTGGGTAAAGGGGGAATAATGACCATCTTGTGGAATGCACAAAGATATTCGTGGTCCAGACGAAAGGACAATATAGGATAATTCAATGTCCAGCCAGTGTCTTTTTTCATGATTGATGCGTTGTAATACAACAAATATGTGAGACTCTTTCCACGTGGGGATTTGAATGAAGGTTTATGTACCGGGAAATGATCCATCCAGGGGCAATGTGGATTTAGTACTTTGTTGTTTGTGCATACTAGGCATAGTGTGTCCCCTAAAAGGTATATAACATCACAAGTGCTATGAGTGGTCAAGACAACAGTCTGTGCCAAAGTGTCGTGACTTCAAAAGGTGTGAGTATTTTATATTTTATTATGTCATCAGTACGATGTATTTTGTGTGTATACATATATTTATATCCGTGAGTAAGTATATTATGTGCTTATAATAAGTTTATAATGATTTTTGTCACTAGGACATGTGTACCATATGCGTGTGATACAAGCATGCTGGTCTCCATCAGACGAAAATATTGTATTTTGTAAGAGGAAGAGAAAGAGAAAGAGAAAGATGGCTTGTGGTAGGGGTAGCGGGGGTGCTACGAAACAAATTATCGCACATGACGCACATAATTCTTTTCCTACAATGAAGGCATATGTATGTCTTTTCAGTAAGAGACCGCCTCCGTGGTCTTGTGGTAGAGCGTCCGCCCGGAGAGCGGAAGGTCCACGGTTCGATCCCGGGCCGCGTCATACAAAAAGACGTTAAAAGATTGTACTTGTTGTTACCCTGTCTGGCGCTCGGCATTAAGGGGCTAAAACAAGGACTGGTCGGCTCGGAGTCAGTATACTGTGTCTGAGTGGGGTATTCATGTTAAACTGCGGCATGGTATCTCAGTGAGCTAGCACTATAAATCGGCATCAGTCCGGACTAGTACAAGCAGCCACACACACACATACACGTGCATGCACGTCGCTATATAAGTGCAATAATCTTGGACGCGACGTTAAACCCAATTTCACCTCACATTTCAGTAAGACAGTGGATACACTATAAGATAAAGGAATTCCCCCTCCCAACACATATACACACAAAAACCAACAATGCTTCCCTCACCATGCATGTGTACATTCTGAATAATAAATACGAATATTCCCTTAAACATCAAAATGTTCCTTTCCAGTATCACTTGATAAAATATCAAATACGAAAATAAAGATGCCTATTAATACAGCTAGTATCATCGTAGATGCTCGTGTGATGGTGGCCTTTGATTCTCCATCCCAACTTGAAATCGGGTTAATCAGTAAGATGAGTTGACGTTTCTCAAAAGGCCATGCCAATCAGAACAGCACGACAACAAATCACTTCATTGTTACTTCAAGTATATCTCGTTAACAATTACCTCGAAGGGCATTATGTCTTTCACTGAAATGAATGTAATTTTGAGAATTCAACACAACACTTCCCCGTGCTTGCATTACAGTAGCATATTTGAAGTGGTAGTAACCATATCTTATACACAAGCATGTACCATTCATGTATATATTTCAGAAGAAACAAAATGCTTGGAAAAATAATGGTTTTCCTGCTCATCGCTGTTGCTATGACGACGGCGTTCTATCTACCTTACTATGGATATGACGATGATTTTTATGACGATATCTATGATGACTTCGATGACTTCGATGACTTCGATGACTTCTATGACGATGATTTCTATCCATATCGACCCTATCGGTTCTTCGGCTAAGAGCCAACCATCTGCAAGTGCCAACCATTACTACTGGATGTCAAAGTGCTGAATAAGGTACGAAACATTTGGTACAGACAGTTGTTGGTGATTTCTTTTGAGGACATGTTTCTCCCTCTGTATCGAGGGGCGCAGGTCACATGACCTATTTCTTGTGTTCAAACGTCTTTCTTGCATTCAACTCTTTCAGAAGGGCCCGAATGGGACCCTGCTTAGAATATTTCCAAAGCACTGCTTGTCGTAAGAGGATCGTGTTAGGTGAAATTGGGTTCAACGTCATATATTGACCATTTTTGCACTAATGCCAAGCGCCAGGCAGGGTGACACCAAGTACCGTCTATTAACGGCTTTTCCTATGACACGGCCGGGGATCGAACCTCTGACCTTCCGCTCTCCCGGGCAGACGCACTTCCACTAGACCACGGATGCCATGTTAAACCCTATTTCACCTCACCTCACCTTACCCCGTCAATGAGGATAATCTTACTAGGAATGGCCCCACTTTGATGAACACGGTTTTAATAAGATTAATGTATACATTTACATAATGTGCACCTGTGATTCAATTGAATAAACATTTTAAAAAAGAAAAGGCTGTTTAACCTCTCTTCAATATATAATAGTATACGTAATGCACTTTACGTGAATCGTTACATAAAACATTTTGTTCTTTTTCTCAAGTGTTCAACAACCCTGTCACTGACTACGAGGATCCAGATTCAAGCATCGATCTACAAATATGGTTTCAGGCGATGGAAGTATAATGTTATTACCCTGTCGTATTTAATTATAAACATTTTATACTTTTATCATAAATAAATATTTCATAGTTTCTTAAAAAATATTTAGACTTTCAATTATTTCCACGGTGAAACTCTTTCGTGTGTCAACTCGGACGAAAAAACATGTGTTTGTATCCGTTTTGAACTTTTAAGAGTGGATATATAGAGTGGTATATTTTGATGCGGCTATAAGAAGCACAACATTTATATTCAAATGAAGGAATTGGGTCTGAACAGTATTTCAGTTATATCACAACGTGTCATCTCGAGGATGTTTACTACTTTAGTGAAACTGACAATCATTCGATGGTGCTTTCAGATCTAGAATCATAATCAATGTAAATCTGGAATTCCAACCAATGGTCATAGGACAAGACTGACACGCACCTTGATCAGCGACCTTATATGGAACCATATAGTTGCATGTGTGAACCAAAACATTTATTTGTTACACTGTATTTAATGTAAAGAAACACTCTCATGATGTCAATCACACGATTGTCTGGTTCTCGATTATTTACATATAGCGGGAATAGTGCTAGTATATTCACTCATGCACACACCAATTCAATCAGTTCCGGCAAATCACGTCATGTTCGCATCAAGGGCCTGCATAACAGTAATCCTGATAATATCGATATTCCAGTACCATATCAAATAGACCATATCCGTGTACCATCAATTTTAATACCTTTTACTGACAGAGGTCTGTGCCCTGTGACAATATGCACAACACAGTATAGCTATGGAGGAAACCATCGTCCACCAGACAAAAGCCAATACTCTTAATCTGACACTACCATCTATCATCCACGATGAAATCTGACAGCAAGAATATGGAAGGCGGGCAGGGATTTTCTCCGGAGCTATCTATAGACGTTTTTCAGACAAACATCCACTCATCATCCTGTTCAGCTCTCAATTGAGAGCCACACTCATCTTCGCCAAAACTGATGTGGGCATGAAAAATCCAATATCAAGGTAAAAGGGTACATTGAGTGTAATGCTTTTGGGATTTTGAAGCAATGCCGTTGAGTGTCTGGTAGACCGAAATGACATCTTATTGCTCTTATAATTTACGGAAAAAACGCCCCTTTGGGATTATTCGTCACAAAACCCATAATGGTTTTTTTAAAGTAGATTGATTGTCAAGTAATCTGCCAGTGCAGAGTCATTACATCGTAATGAAAACATATCCAAGAAACCGTTTGGAGTTTATGAGTGAATATGGTGTAACGCCAATGTGAACAGGTTTTCAGTTATATCATTGCGTGTCAAATTGATGTGGAGGAAAGGTCGAACAAAAACCGAGAAATATGATCAGGGATATTCTGATTCGAGCCCAGGGTCATAGTTCATCTGAGGGATGCCTAAAGGACGTAATTCTGCACAGCCAATTGTAGCTCCCTAAAGACACGACTAGGCATGACATCCGCATGAACATGTATCAAATTATTCTATTTATCCACCGCTGATTTCATGCTGATTTTTTCCAGCAACATCACAGCAACCTGAAGTTAGCAGCGGGGACGTTTTTAGCTATTCGTTTTAGAATAACTAAACACAAGACAGCAGTGGGCTCGTGATTCAAAGGCTGCATGTTAAATAGCTACAGTAATGGGATCAAATACACTGTAACTCCTCTGAAAAAATGACAGCAGATGTGTGACCATCTTTCAAAATCAGTTTTGTTATTCAAGCAGTAGTTTCCTTATTGAGTGTATGTCTATCAAACTGACAAATATATAGTAGTCTAACCTATGTTAAAACAGTCGTTTAGGTGCTAAGTTCTGTCCAGTATCTAGAATCTAAACAGCACCGACAAAGATATTGTCTTCTCGTCTTTCTGTCAATCTTTTAGCACTAACAATATCAATACAAAGTTTGTGTTTAGTTATTGGAAAAATCATATAGCTAAAGACGAACCCGCTGCTATCTTCAAGCTGCTCAATATCATAGCAAAGATCACCAGAAATCTGTAGCAGCGAACTCTGGTCTTTTTAAACACCATTCTTATTGCCCCTTTGTAGTTCTGGAACCAATATCATTGTGCTAACTTTGTTGGGATATTGTGTTGGTGTGATCACAATAATTGTGACAACTTTGCATGTGCGACGTGGTTGTTTCGTTCTTACAACAAAAGTGTATTGTTCCTACTAATCATGTGACCATGAAATAACGACAACCACACACAAAGTGCGACAAATACTGACATGAATTTGTAGAAGTTCCCAGACACAATTCCATCGTGTTTAAAACAATCAGGACCAGTGTAAGAATTAATAAGACAATAATATATAACACGAAGCTGATTTTGAAACAAATAATTTGTCCTTGGGTTAAAAAGATCGTCCTCTAGACATGCTGTCTCAAACAGAACTCCCCCTCCCAATCCCGTGGGATATTAAACGGTCGGCCCGTTTTATAATTATAAAACTTCCGCCAAATGGAAAACAGCTTTTATATAAACTGCCGGGGAAGATAAAGCACATACCAAAGTATGATGATGACTAAAAATGAAACAAACAAAAAACGGTTGTTCGATGGTGAGGTATTTAATACGGGTACGGTGTTTTGGACCTTACACTACTGCCTAGAAGTTCATTCCCCTTACACGCATGGGCAACGCGTTACGCAACCAGTGTGCACCCCGTCCGCCACTCGTGTGCAACGCGTGACACACTCATTAGAGGGGGAACAAACTTTTGACCAAAGGAGGACCCGTCTTAAGCTGAACCTGGAGGTGGTAACAAGGAGAGAAAATTTTGTTATCCTGACGAAAAATGATAATACACATGTATTTCCTAATGTCTCCTTTCTTTATGTGATTTTGTGGGAATAACATGAATACTGTTGCGATTAAATAGATCTGTTTTGTTTTATACGACCATTGCTTCTAAATCCGATGGTGTTAATTAAGAGAATACATGGTCCTGGAACATGTTATTGCAATTGAAATGCTTTTATTGTGATTTGACATTAACCGTCTGTAGTACGACTTTCAGTGATAATATGTATGAGGTTTGGCGGCGCATTGTTTTTATTGGACCCTGATTACTTTATGATGACTTGGACTCTTTATCACAGCTCCATAGCCGTGAGGCTGGAAAAGAGCAGCATGTAATTAATGAGGGTGGGTTATATCATTGAGGATACACTTGAGGGAGAGAATACTAATTACCGTACTACAGGAAGAGACCTGTAGACGTAAGCGCGGGGTTGTGTTTTAGCTGGCCGTTTGATAATGGCCGCCAGGAGAAGTGAGCTTTGCCTGCATCATCTAAAATAAATAATAAGATACAGCAGTGTTATTTTCACGGTCTGTTGAATAAACTCCCAGCGCAACGGTCAATGTATCTTCTACTTGATCCTTGATACATCATTTTGTCTTTCACAATATATAGTATTTCAACGTACAAAGGACACTGATCTAAAGCAATTCCGCGGGAGTAGTTGTTACCTGTGCATTACTGTATTTTCCCAGTGAGTACCCGGATGATATAGCAGAAATCTAGACTTGTTCGCGACCTGTGCTCGCCATTCGTAAGCGCATTTTAATTGAAAGTAGAAGGACGTATGGTCACACTGATCAACAAAAATGAAATACAGTTTTTGAAATGTAGGTATATTTGTGGGGAGCATCGGTAATGGTGATGCAGTTTTGATAAGTCACTTGCTTAGTAATTGTGCAATCTTCGTGTACACTATTTTGACTTGCAACACAGAGTAAATATTTCACTGAACATTGCTTATTTTACCGTGTGTATATGTTTACATTCAAAATGTAAACAGATTTCACTAAGGAAATGTATTAAAACGCCTAAATATTCAGTTTATTTCACAAATTAACTGAAAAATATGTCCATCTTTATTAATATGATAACGAATTCCAAATATGTTTAATACCATCACCAAGTACAGTTCTGTATTGTTTGGCTTCTTTTCTTAGCATAATTAATATATTGTGATGTGTTTAAGCTCTCTTGGTCGTCTTTATCATTTTTAGTCAGTCGGTTAAATAAATGAATGGATTATTCAGTCAATTTGTAAAATGACTGAAATATTTAGATATTTAATAAATTGCCTGAGTGAATCATATTTTACACATTGACTGTAACATATACACGCTTACAAAAGAAAATACTTGTGAAAACACCGTCTATCGCGCATCGAAAACCTTCCCAACCAAACGGAAAGGAACAAGAATGATTCTGTTCAAAGCTGCAGCGAATGAATGAAAACAAAATGCAAATATCATTATAACAACCTACCAAAGTTATAATGTATCCGGGAATATCAACATACAGGAACAATATCCATTGCGTCTGCAGCTGTACAAAAATACTTATTCGATGTAAAATGTCTATGTGAGAATCAAATACTTTAATAATAATTATTTGGAAACAATATTTGGAAACAATATTTGGAATATATATGAAATATATTAAAATATTTAAATATATCGTTTTTAAACGTTATTTAAATGTATCGAATAGTATAACCCGTGTTTGTTTCTTAACTGATCACTTATTTTGTTTCAATTGTTTCACATAGGTGCCAAGTTAGCTGAGAAAGCCCACGTGACAACTATTTTTATAATGTCCACGGTTCTTAAAAACATACATTGAGTTAGATAACAATGAACAACTAGTCAGTGTATTATCGGTTACCCTTTGAACAAAGTACATTCGATGGTCCTTCAGCATCAACATTGTCGAGGTGTAATTTCATTTGTTTCTTATAATAAAGCTTGAAATTCTTTATGATCCTGGCATCTAGTGTTAATTGATAAAGTTAATCTCTGCAGCCGGTGCGTGTCAAAACACGGGGTTGTGTACTCGCGGGCAGATGACCACGGAGTACGCTGACCACTGTGTCGGATTAACGAGACTGATTAATGAGTGATTTCAGTAATTCGTTGCAAATTAGGTGTGTCGGAGTCGGAGTGCGAGAATGTCGGATTAACGGGACTAAATAGCGCTGAATCAATCGGTTCTCATCATTTGTGTCGGATAAAGCCGAGCGTCGGATTAACGAGTGTCGGATTAACGAGACTTGAC